TGATGATTGAATTGAAACTTTATGCAATTTTAGTGCTAATATATAATATATTTCGATGCTATGATTTTTCAAAGTTTCTTTCAGTTTCTACAAGTATAACTTTTTGCGAGTGCTACAAGTATAATTGGAGGATGATAATATTTTAAAATCATTGGTTGTTAAGAAATTTCAGTAAACACCACCAAGCATTGGTAACACCAGGTGGTAATGCATCAGTTAAAGATATCATTGTGAATCTTTTTGGTACCCGTTTTGAAAAAGATACAATACTGGGTATTGTTGAGCAAAAACCGGATGAAGCTGTATGTGCTCTTTATGGCATCTCTGAGGATGCAAAATTCGATGATATTAGGTAAATTAGAGTGTGTTACTCTAATGATATAACTTTATGCTCGAAACATGAAATTTTAAGGGGATAAAATTATTGTCCTTATCTGTATACCTTATATTTAATTTTTGATCTTTATTTATTTATTGACATCATATGTCTATCAATCTTAGATTTTAAAATTCGAGCATGATAAAGAAGTGTAGAAAATTTTCGTAGCTATTATAGAATCACTGGTTACGTAAGTTCTTGTGTACATGGACAGGGAAGGAGTGCTGCCGATCGACAGTTTATTTATTTCAACAAGAAACCGGTTGATTATGCAAAAGTTGTTCATCATTAATTTGCTTCACTTTAATTAATTTTTCTTCACCTAACTTATCATTTTACTGAAGAAAGACTTGAAAAGAAAATGTGAATCTGATGCTGATAAAGTTCCGAAGTGATTTTGAAATTCTCCTTTCAGCTTTGTCGAATAGCAAATGGGGTATATCAACAATACAACCGAGGGCAGTATTGTATGCTTATCCTCTTTGTTGACGTCCTTCCTGGTATTTTCTTTTCTTATTGCTAAAGTTATATAGCAGTAAATATGGGGTCGGCTCTAATATTTTCCGCAAATATTTAGAGATGTTAAAATCGTGCTGATCTTAACAGAGAAAAAGATGTTAAAATCAGTCCTTTAGAGCGACAGATGAAATGCATTTCGGCAACTATATCTTCATACACATTTTGATTTTCTTAATTATCACATCTATCACTTCATGGTGCAAATAATGAAGAAATTTGATCATGCGTAATAAATTTTAAATTGAAAGCTCGTATGATCCTCAATCGTCAATTTTATTTAATGATTGAATAAGGTTGGTTAAACAAGCTTGATTTTTGTTATTAATATGCGAAGAAGTCTTCGTGGTAATCTTAAATTTCTAAAGGTGTTACTATACAATTAGCATTACCTCATTTGTTCAATTTACTCATAATAAATAATCTAAATACAAAATGAAAGTATTTATTTTCAGAAAGTATTGATATGAATGTGTCACCGGATAAGCGTTCTGTATTCTTCGAACGTGAAAAAGAATTATTCTCATTGTTACATGCTTCACTACTGGCGACTTTTGCTCCACATCTTGGTCATGTCAACACTTCAAGTCGACTCACTGATACCAATCATTTGTCATATTTAGGTTTATTTTTTGTGGTTTTTTGTATGAATATGAAATTGAATATGCATAATTTCTTTGAATTTTGATTTTGTTCTTACTTGAAAACCATTATATATAATTATTAAAAGTCTTATCTTACTTGGGGTAGCTGCAGTGAATCATGCCAAAATTAGAACTGGACCGCGGCACTCCAAATAATTCAAAAAATGATTTCTGTTTATTAGCCGATTAACATTGATCAGTCGAATGCTAGTAATCAAATCGGTATGTAGAGTAGACAATAAAGTTTGACGTCGTCATTTGGATTAATTTTTGGGAGCTTATTAAATACAGTCCATGCTGTTACCATGTGAAGTACGCCTTATTAAGTATCAAATGTAATCATTTCAATTCTCAAAAGCCAATAAAATGTATTTTTATCACTGTTAATTATAATCAGTGTCAAGATCTTAATTTGTTTGGATTGGTTTAAAATTTTCTCGGAAATAGTAACGATTCTGATCATTTCGCACTGTCGGGTAAAATGTGCTAAGTAATTGGCATTTTTAGTTGAAAAAGTCAATCATTAAATTTGCTAAATGTATTTGATTAAAATCCTGATTTCATTTTAGGATCCACGAATGATTCATTCATCCATTTAGCGCAATCAAACGATAACAACGATTCATCTGATATATCTACACCAGATTCTTGTTCATTTTTGGGATCAAAAGACTCTAGTCCACCGATAACTATCGCAAGAGATAAATCACGTGGACCGAGTATAGATCTCTCGGATATCAAAGGCAAATTTCGAGTTTCTTTGGATTTCTAAGAATAATGTCGGTAGACAATTGAAGAATTGTAGTTTGAGACATTAAATCTCATGTTTTATTTCACTCTGTTACACTATCTTCCTAACTTTGTAGCTATAAAATCTCACTGAGAATAGAGCAATTATCGCTAAGGTAACTAAGGTGCCAAGTATAGTCATAATCAATGCAAAAGAATTGTTTGAAGTGTTTTAATAGTCTTCATCTTTTGCAGTTGTTAGAGATTGGGAAGAAAATATGTTCGAATATAATATTTGCCATGCTGAATGAATTGAATGGAAAAATTTCCTAAACCTTTTCAGAAACTGTAGAAAAGAGTAGAAAAAGACCTGCCGCAAATAATTGTTCTGATAAGTCCGCTTCTGTCCAAAAACGACCTGCAGCAAATTTATTTGAAAAATTTGCTTTCAAAGTGATACCTCATAATTCCGAATTTATTGCTGACAGTTGCACCACTAGTGAAGAAACATTACGTTCATCATGTTCAGTAATTGATCAGCGAGAAAATGCTAATTTTAGGTATGTTGGTCAATTTGTTCTTTCCTCTACAATATTTACTGATTTGTCCATCTTTGCCAATGTTTTTGCAATAGAATGATTTACTCGATATTTCAGAGTTGAAATACTTAGGTGTTATTTGTTATGGATTGGATTATTGCTATAACATTTTTTAGTCAGACAAAAGTATATAACAAAAGACAAAAAGAAGGAGTGATTACTGCGAAAAAGGGAAAAAAGAAAATTTTATTTTATTTTTTAACAGCGGTATAGTATGTATTACTTTCAGATTGACATTATTAAAATTTTTCAGTTCTTCGTTACGAACTGTAGTAGAGGGTGCATCAAAAGATGAAAACATTATGATAATACCTCAGGAAGATACGAATTTTCCGAATCTAAGCGAAGAAGAAGATGATGATGAAGTACTGGTGACAGCCGTGAAAAATGACAAAGTGGGAACATTTATTTTTGAAACTGATTTTAGGTTTTATTTGCAAAATTATAACCATCGGCGATAATTTTTTGATTTTGATTAATGGCATAATCTGAGGTGGATCAAACTTTGTCTTTATATTCTGATACTTTTAGCATATATCCCTCAATAATAGGAAGAATGTTTCCTTTTTAATATTTCAAATAGGATACTCAATAGAAAAGTTGTAATTAAACTCGTACTCTATGAAACTTGAATAAGTTTCTATTGAAAGGATTGCAAATCTCCTGTAAAAGCAGAGAACAGTTTTGGCATTGCACGTCGTACACAGCAAACAATATCATTCTCAATGTCTGATCTCAAAAATCATATGAATAAAGTAAGTGTTTTTTATTGCATCAGTTTCTATTGCTCATCCACTATTTGTAAATTTTTTCTTTATTGTCCACATCTTTTCTTCAAAAGAATCTGTATTATAATTGCAGGTAAAAGCATCGAAAATTGTGTTGAACGTTCGTGATGGTGCTGAAAGAGTAATGGAATCACGCACAGAATTTCGTATTGACAGTGCAGAAACGGCAGAAAGTGAATTGACTGCTTATATCTCGTTAGTTTTATTTTCCAACCACAATATTTATGAGCATAAGTCAAAGAGTAATTGTAAATTTTCGTCAGGAAAAAAGATTTTGAATCAATGGAAATATTGGGACAGTTCAATAAAGGTTTTATTATTGTGCGGCTAAATAACGATCTCTTTATTGTTGACCAGCATGCTAGCGACGAGAAATATAATTTCGAACGATTCCAGAAAAAAGCACGCATACAAACGCAACGCTTGATCAGGTTTTATTAAATTTTATTTAAATTTTTGGATATTTTAGGCGTGGCGGACCTATTTCAAGTAATTAAAAAGAAAAACTTTGTGAAAGGTGTTAACTACAATTTCATTGCTTTATTATTACTCTATTCGTATAATTCTATAAAAGTCTCCACATGTATTTTCCCACTTGATGGATTTCAAAATGTTTATATCACAAAACAGAACTGCTCTACTAATCCCGTCATTTAAGCTCATGAATTAATTCTAGTCCACGTGTCTTGGATCTTGGAGTAGTAAAAGAAGCAATATTACGTGATAATGTTGATATATTCAATTACAACGGATTCGAATTTCGATTCGATGACGAAGGTACATCCGAATTGTAAACTATTATTTAGCGTAGCACTCGGCTTACTAATCCTTATCATAGCTACTGGAATTCTACAGCTGCATTTTAAATTTAACTAGTTTCGCGTTTCAAATCCAAATTTAAATTTATTTGCAGCATTTTTTTTAATTTTAATTTTTAGAATCACATTTTTTCTTATGAGGTTGAAAATTTGGTAATTCTGCGATATCATTTAACATTAATTTTTTTCTCAAGTTAATTTTGCAGAGCTTGTTGGTAAGCGTGCATTACTAACCGCAGTGCCAGTTCTGCAGAGTTGGCAGTTCAGTATATCAGGTATGAAATTGCGATTGTGATTCCGCTTTCTTTCTTTCACACTTCAGTACTTAAATGGTACATTCCATTCTTATGCTATCTGCTAATCACACGATGAAAAGCTGTGGAAAAAAAAAAGATTTCTCATCATGGATTTTAAGATATTGATGAGATGCTTTCTGTATTATGCGATTTTCCCGGAATGATGTATCGACCAGCAAAATTGCGGAAACTTTTTGCTTCACGAGCTTGTCGTAAATCGGTTATGATTGGTAGCGCACTTACAATGACACAAATGGAAAAAGTAAGCTTCTTTCTTGATTTGTTTCACGAAATGGATGCATGTATCGAAACTTCCTCAGTCAAAATTCAACTGGGATTCTTTTACTGTTCTTTACTTCATTACCACTTACAGTTAATTCATAGCATCCTTGACTATTCCTCTCTCTTACGTGTATCTTGTTCCTGAATTCATTTCCATTTAGACATTATATTTTTCATGCTTCATTCTTTTTTCAGATTGTTCGTCATCTTGGAACACTTGATCATCCATGGGTAAATCTGCTAGTGTTTGCAATTTTGTAATGAAAAAGTGCTTATGCAATAACTGATAAATGGTTCCATGGAGCCATCATTTATTGTTATAAATTTCGTGTTCTTCAAATTACAAATTTAGA